GTCAGCTTGGAGCGTTCTTTTATTGAACGCTTCACATTATTGGTACGCTTCTTGTACGCGGGGCAGTCCTGCAAAGCATGAAGAGGTTCTTTGCCACAGTAAGCACATTTAGTTGCTTCCTGTTGGCAAGCACCCTCCATGTGGTCTTGGCTACATTTGCCACAACGGGGCTTGTTGTCACAAAAAGCAGCTGTGTGTCCCAACTTTTTGCAGTTGGTACAATTGTATACCCTTGGTACAAAAAGTCGCACCGGGAAAAAAACATTTTCAATTTCTAAAAACTTTGGGAGAACCGATCCAGCGAAAGACACCTGTAGTTAGCCTGAAGGGGAATAAGTCTTTTGACCATCTACCGTGGTCGCTGAATACAATATCCTGCAACCCAGAACGTCCACGGTAGATGTTGCAGCATTTTGAAGGCGCCCCATACCTTCCATGACGTCATCACACGTCAGGCTCACTGCAGAGACCACGCCGTCTATCTCCACATCTCGAGATGGGATGTAGACGTAATACTCTTCATTGTAACCCTCGTCGTCAGCAATCTCATTTGCGACTTTATATGTGAGCGCAGTTATACGCAGTTTGTTCCGATTGACCTGATGAAATTCGGTCCCCGGGAAACGACGCGTCAACGTTCTTTTAATCCCTAAGAAGTTTAGGGCTTTCTCTTTCTGCCGAAAGTAGACAACCCAAGGCGAAGCAGAAGACGCCTGGTAATGACGCTTTCTAACTTTATCATTGGGAGGCTTGACGCCCCCCTGTGCATCATCCATACGAAATTTAGAACTTTCGTTAGGAAGTAAATAATTTTATTTTTACTTTTTTTGATTTACGAACCACCCTATGTGGAATCGTTTACTGGGGGAGAGACAGACGATTCACAAGCAAACAGTCAGAGGAATGGGTATACAAAAAAACAGATACGTGCTTCTATTTGCCCTTACCGTTTCTACTGCTTATATTGTTGCTGCTATGCCACAATAGATGCCGGTCGTACACACCGTCCGTGCGGTGGCTCACTGCTTTCTGCTGGTTATTGTTTCCAGTTGTACACACCGTCCATGTGTTTTGCCGTATGCCGAATTTCGATATCGTCGAAGCGGGTTTTAAAGGTGGACAGTCCGACCGTAGGCTTCGCCAGGATCGGCTGCTTCCTCCAGAAATGCGCGAGTCACCTGAGGCACAAAAACTTTTTCCGGAAAATAACGTTTCGCGGTGAAAAAACACTTTCAAAGCTATGCCTTGTGACGAGACAACAGACCCTGATGTTGCTCATTCGCTAGCAGAACGAGGAATGATTTGCAGTCTTCTTAAAAGATATGTGATTTGAAATTTCTAACATCTTTGTAGAATATGTTACAGGTACAAAATTGATTTGAACGATGTCGCCACAAAAAAACCTTTATATGTCAGCAGTTATAAGAACTAGAAAGTTATAGTATTTAGCAAAGTTGTTCACAATAATGTTCTCTACAGTTTTGCCAAACACAACTATTTTGTATCTCATCATATTAACAAAATACATTTTGCATCTCACTGTTAGGTGGATTAATCTTTAATTTTCTTTTACCATAAGAAGGAGTGTTGTTACCCGAGAAACTTCTCAGAAGACACCTAGTACCTTTAATTAACCATTTCAGCGTAAATAAAAAAGCGCGTGTTTTGAAACCTTTGGCACCACTGTGCATCGCCGCTGGGCTCTGTAGTCGTTGGCAACGATGTGATAGATGCGATCCAAAAATTAAAAAAAAAATGGCCATCATTATCCCGCACCACTACCAGTGATTAAGATGTGTTTTTTTTTTCTTGATTTGTTTGCCGCCGATCTTGTTTTCCGTGCTTAGCACCAATGCTACCGAGGCCAGGGAGGCAGCTTCCACACCTGGACCCTACCTATCAACCCATCAACTCATGAACCGGGGACCAACGGATTTACTTCCTTTCAATCAGTGGCGTTTCCTTAAGGTTAACCTCAATCTACCCGTGCAGCAGCTTTCAAAACATAAACAATTATCAAAATATTGCTTGCAATGGATACACACTTAGATTTTTTGCCGAGATTGGCACCACCGAGCAGACCGGCATTTATTTTTACTGAGATCTCAGCAAAATTTAAGTTTGTTAGCCGAAATCTCGTCAAAATACCCGTTTGTTAACTGAATCTCGGAAAAATTTTCACTGAGATCCAGCAGAATAGATTGCCGAACTGCTCAGTGGTGCCCATCTCGGCAAAAAATCTAAGTGTGTAGATATCGAGTAAACTAGAAGATTAAGGGTATTTTTCATCCGATTCGAGTATGAATATGGCATTAAATCTGGTTTTGAAAGTTGGTGTACAGGTTACGGGACGCCACTGCCTTCAATCAATTAAATTTCAAAGTGTCTGAAACAATTTCAAACTTTATTCCATCTATTTGTAAAATTCGTTTTTATGGCACGTCCATCTATTTGTAAAATTCGTGTTTATAGCGTCCACAGACTTCGGTAAACTTCTATGAAATTTAAAATATCATGGACTTTGAAAAGCATTTGAGATCGCGCACTTAAAAATTTCTAGAAGGTTCCTAAAATTATAAAATGTTTCAAGATTCTTAAACATCCCAAATTTAAAAAGATTATCAAAATTTCATCCGTTGCTGTTAGATAGTAATTTGTGATTAATTACTAGCTCTTAGATAAAGGATGTGTCTCCCTCCAACAGACCAGAGCTGTCCTGGCCACGTCCTTGCATCTGGTGGGGAAAGGGGAGGAATGTTAGTCCGACACTTACTTAAGAGAGATGCAGAGAACCCTCATAAGTGTCACGGGAAGAGTGGATTTTTATTAGTAGGGAGGGTAAGCCATAGGATACACCCAGCCGGCGTTGCTGGCAATCGTTATATCAAGCATTTAATAAATTGAAGCTGTAAGTTGTTTATCTGTCCGTTGTTGCTGCCCATTACCTAAACATGTTATTCAAACAGTCTTCAGATTTTGGAATTAAGAAACGTTATCAGCTCGATCCTGTTGCTCCTTTGCGCCTAAAAATGTTTGTTGATCCTAAACATATGCACAATTCATTCTGATCGATATGAGGTTCTCATGTGTAAAAAATTATTAATTTAATAGTATGTGGAATCGTAGATTAGAATGAGAGTCGAGTTTCGAACGCCTTTGGATACGGTTGTGTTTTAAGTTTGTTCTCTGTTATGTGCGTGCATTCGCTTACATAGTTTTCGGCTGTATTTGCCGGATTAGCGCTGGCACTCTTCCTCCCGGACGGTTATATGTGTGTGAGTGGTGGTTTTCTCGCTTTCCGAGAAGTTTTAGAATCGAGAAAGAAAACAGAAGATTTGACGCTATCTGCGTTGTTTGATTTTTTCTCCCGGTCCTGAAATTTGTGGCATCGCGAGTGATAATTTTAATTTTAGTTTATTTACGCGGTGATGATGTTGGTTCACTCGCAACTATTTTTGAAAAAAATTAAGTGTTTTCGAACGAAAGTGTACCAAAAGTGCTTCTGAACGTGTTTCGCACTTGGGTGTGGTGAAACTCGTGCATTCCCGGTTGATTTTGGAAATCCGTATCACAAAATTGCCCACCGAATCCTTTTTTTGCCGTTCGACTACGACGGGTGTGCTTTCGCGAGAGTGACGTTTATTGGATCGGTTTCTTTGCACTGGTGTGTTTTTTTGTAACTAGCGTAAGTGTGCCTACGATTTGCATCGAGTGTCGGAGATTGTGAGTAAGCTGAAGGATGTCTCGCTGAATACGCCCAAGACTGGACGGGCGGTAGCTGGTGGCCGTGAACGTAGGGTTACCATATCAAAAACATAAAAAGTAGGACATTTTATTTGAGGTTTGAAGATTAAGGAGGACAATGATTCCTTCCTTAACATTTAAGAAGGAGGACAATGAGTTTTTATCAAACCTTTTAATAATATTTGCTCTATCACAAAATTCATGATTTGCGAAGGTTCAATTGAGATTGTTCGTAACTTGTGATCGTTATCAACTCAATTCATCTTCTCGTTATACTTCTGAAAAATGCATCTAACTAGCCTTTACAATTCATGTTTGATACTTAGAAATGATCTAGTCTAGTTGATTTGCATGAAAACTGCAGCTTTACAACGTTAAAACCATCTCAATTTTTATCATGTACAAAAATCAGGATACATGTCATCGCTGATTGAAACCAACATGGAACATCTAAGCAACCTGTTAATTTTACCAGAGAGTTTTTTGAACATTATAATTTATTTTCGAAATGTCAAATTTAAGTAAAAATTCAGAAAAATGGATGAATTTTCACTGATTCTTCAAAAATAATATATAATGTTCGAAAATCCCTCTGTTGTTGATCGTCTGATTTTCGAGAAGTTGTTTGTTAAAATTGATTCCTGGTTTGTCTGAAATAAGTCTGGTAGAATAGCAGTTTATTTGAAAATTTTCCATCTGTCAAATTTAGGTTAAAATTAACGAAATGGACAGTAACCTTGACCGCAGCCTAAATGTAGGGAGGTTGACAGCTGTAGTATACTCCTAGTCCCACCATCGAATGGTATTTGCTAGATAAGATGAATAATAAAATTCGCACAGTTTGTTATAGAATTAAAAACTGCATTAAAAGTGCCACAGTCGTAAGAGAGTTCCACACTACACTAGGACTAGACGTGAACCTGTTGGAAAATGAGTGCTCGGTGCTCTTCGCTCTCCACTCGTTCATTTTCATTTTCTTCCTAACCCCAGCAAGCGAGTTTCGGTCTCTATGGAGGTATGCTGCCGGCAACATAAACACATTCACCGTGCGAGGTCACTCTCCACCCATCGTCTGTCCGTCGTCGCGTTGCATACAGCATAGCAGTGAAGGAAGAGAAGCGTCGATGACTCAGGTTGATCCCCGATCGGTCTCTCTCGGTCTCGGTCTGGTCCGAATCGCCGCCGCCGTCGTCGAACGAAACGCAAGTCAGTCTTGGCCGCAGCGGCAAACTTGTTAGTCCAGTTCGCGCGGATCTTCCGCAAAGTAAAGAAGTTCTGCATTGCGCTCTGCTGCTAACGTTAGAATCTGCTGTACTCGCGCACGGTAATAATAATAAGCAAAACGACCGAAACGAGTGTACACATTCGGGTTTTTGTATTTTATTTTCAGTTTTTGGTGTTGTGTTGTGTTTTTTTTTGTCTTCCTCAAGTTGAGATTTTCTTCTCCCGGCTCGGATCCGGTGTGTTTATGGAAGTGTTTCCGAGCTGTGTGTTGTTTTGTGTGGTGTTGTGTATTTCACATGATGATGAAAGTGTTTTTCTTTCTCGAAAACGTGCGCACTGTTTGCGGTGCTGTTCGGGTAGATTTTACCCGGTTGATGATAAGTTTTGCCGGACGAACGAACGAACGGATAGACGCAGAGGAAAGCGCAGAGTTCCACACTCACATTATCCGTAAAATTGCGCACAGTGCACATCTATTTGCACGAAGAGTTCAGATGTTCAGAAACAGATATGTGACTTAGCTAGCCAGGCAGCAACACACACGGTGTTTCTGTTTTTTGGCCATCGATCTTTGAACCGTCATCAGTGGGCATCACCATCATCGTCGAAACTGGCAGTTGGACTTGCGTCCCGGAGAAAATGATGAAATGTGTGGAAAGATTTTAGTTGAGAAGAATAACAGAGTGATGTGTGAAGTAGTGTGAGGTTAACACTAAAATGTTGATGGTTATTTACAACAAAATCGGGGGAATGGAGAATATCTTTCTAAGATCTATTTGGTAATCACATCGAGCTGCTTTATATTCTTGATTGATGCAAACACGGTGACCGTTATTATCAACAAAATAAGTCCATCGATGACCAATCGATGGCGTTGGTTATCCTACGTATGCTTTGTAGAAATCAAAATAATCTATAGAGATATTGCGATTTTGATGTAAAGATTTAAAGCGATTTTCTCCTTAGCATAGCTCAGAGGAGTAACTAGGGAAAACCCTGACCAACATTATTTACTGCTGTTTTGAGTGATATTAGGCATGGAAGCAATGTAAATAGTACTTATGATTAATCTTCAGTCAAATTGAAAAAAAAAAGTTTTTATACAAATATGCCAAATTTGCTCTAAACTGATGTACTGCCCATAATTGCCCATTTGGATAGGAAATCAAGCAAAGATGGGACTGATATGCGATTATGGGTAGTGTAGATCATACGATTTTCTACCGGATGAGTTCTCATCACTAATATGTTCATGTCAACTTGAAGTTTAATTCGTCCATAGATTATATGATCGAATCAAGCAGAATTTGCCAACTTTTTTAACAATGAAAATGTACAGAAAATTCTTCAACACATTTTATCAAACTTCTTTAAAACGAGCTTGAACATTAAGACATTGAGACCATTATCCATTAACTAGTTGGCATTGAATACAAGGATTTCACATTCTGAGAAATATTGACCATTAATTATTTTGTTTACGTCTGTTTTTTGGAAAAAAAAAATATAGCTCTAGATTATGTCCTTAAATGTTTACATATCATTTAAAATATTTCAACCGTTGCCACTTTGTGCAGCATATACGTATACAACAAAAATAAAACAACATTGAAAACATTAATAAAAGTTATTTCTTCTTTTGGACAGCTTTTTATTCTAGATACACCTCTGTGTGTCGGTTATCTGGATATGTGTAACTTCACTAAACTGTAACTGTTTTAGGAGATTTCCCAAAAATTCAACAGACTTGTTCAGAAATATTATCTAACTTTGTAAAATATATATGAAGTTGAAAAATGTTGACTGTAAACTGTTGACACACTACGGTTCTATTACCTTAAATAACCAAAGGTGACTTTTGTTTAGTCCCAGATGATGTCCTATATAGGCCCAAAGTTAACTACATGAGTATCAACATATCCCCTCACGTAATTACATCTATTACATCCTACGTATACATTTATTACAAAAAAGGTGATGGCAATTCTTACAATAAACTGAAGCGAATATGCAAGTTTTTGAATATTTTCGTACTGCATTGTCCATTGGGTGGTTGGGGGCTCACTTAGATTCTGATGAGTTTCATCGTTTTTCCATGAAGATAGGTCATGTTCATGACCAATGCACTCCTGAAGTCTTCATTTCATAAAATGGATTCAAAATTACAACTTGAATGAAATACTTAATATTATTTATGGATTTATCTTCAAACCTAAAGCACAATTTTATTACATTCCCTGGGAACTGAAGATCTGTTATTTTAACCCCTCCCTTTCCAGAGGGTTTTTCATTGCCAACCTTCTTCTTGCCACCTAACCTGCATGGAAGTTTCGACCCATCGCTTGATGTCCTGAAGGGGAACTTCATCGGTGTACCTGGCAGTAGATGGTCCCGCTCCAACCAGTCTGTCAGCGTCGGAGTTGCCAGCGATGCCACAATGCCCCGGAACCCAAGAGAATACGACGCCGCCGAGTTGTCTCCTGCCCTAAACTGCTCCTTAAATCGGCTTTCGATGTTTAACGGTCGATTACCCACTTTTTCCTCCCAGCCAGTGGCTCTTGGTTATTGGGGGGAGGTCGGTATTGGCTGCTGTACGGAGGATACTGTTCCCCTCCTCGAGGAGATAGATCCATTCGTTACCCGGTGTTTTTGCCAAGTAGACAGCGGCTTTGATGGCGACTGCGGTGTCGATTCGAAATCGGAAAGAAAGTACCCTGACTTCAGCGCAGGCTGTGTCGGCCGGCGTCGAGGGCAGGAGACTTGAAACTACCCGGATTTAGCCGTTTTAAACCGGTGCAAGGACTTGCACCAGTTTGTTCTTGGCCATTGAGGTGAGCTTCAAATCGTAGAGTAGACGGCCAGGGATGGAAAATCATTTGCATTCATTTCGTGCATTCATTTACATTCATTTGCCTCTAACTTTTTTCATCAACAGAATACCATCAAATGATGTATGAAGCTTTTGTAGCTTTTGATATTAACTACAACTTTTGTAAATAACTAAAATCTGTATCTCTTATGCATGATGAATAAGAGCGATAAGAACCCACCATTGTTTTTTAGTGAATGTAAATTGCATTCACTGAAAAACAATAACATGTTCAGCCAGCTCTATTTCATCAAGCATAAGAGATTCAGATTTTAGTTATTTGCAAAAGTTATAGTTAATATCAAAAGCTACAAAAGCTTCATACATTATTTGATGGTATTCTGTTGATGAAAAAAGTTAGAGGCAAATGAATGTAAATGAATGCACGAAATTAATGTAAATGATTTTCCATCCCTGTCGACGGCTCTCAATAACTGCCTTGGCTACTGCAACCGGATAGCTCGGTTTTTGGTGCGGTGCGGCAAGGAGATTGTTTTGATAAGGTTTATGCGGGTCTCGCAACTATCCTTAACGCTTTGGAAGTGTTGCGTGAAGGTTAAGTGTCGATCAACTAGACCGGAATTTCAAAAACCTTTAAGAATTTGAAGAAGAAAAATTTCAAGTTTTGTCGAGGTTTTAAAGCATTCTTCATGTCTTAACAGTACTCAGCAGGTGAGAAGGTGGCATTTTCCAACTAAAAAACGTGAGGGGCGAAAAAATTTCTCGACTGATCCTTGAATTGTACCTTTTCCATACTTCTTGAAATTTTTCGCAACTTCTACGAAGTTCCATCAACTTCTACCAAGTTCCATAATTATTTTTCCCATTTTTCTCAATTTGACAAAGATCTCAGAACATTCATGACCTTCCCCAAACTTAAGGAAAGATCTTGAACCTTCCCTACGAATTTTCCTAAACATCTGTAATTTCTTTAAACTTCCAGTAATTTCTCAAATCAAACCTTAAAGTTCAAAATTCTCTGAACTTATACGAAGTCCGCTGAGCTTCAACATTTTTGGCTGAACTTCAACGAAGTTTCTTGAGAATCCCAGCACTTCTATGAGGTTCCTTTAACTTTTTAGAATATCGTTGATTTTCTACGAAGTTCCTTGAAGTTCTACAAAGTTTTCTGAATTTCCACCGAAGTCCATTAAACTATAACGAAGTTCCTTGAAGCTAAATTTACTATTATGAAGTTTCCTAAACTTGTACAAGGTTTTCAATATTACAAAGTTTTATCGAGTTTTTACAAAGAACTCTGAATTTCTTCACAATTCTCTGAAGCTCCATGAAATTCCCCGAATTTATAATAAACTAGCAGAGTGTGCCCGGCCTTGCTCGGGATTCAATATTAGCTTGAGTTTATGCGCCAATTGAAAAAAGATATATTGTACGTAGCCCCCCCCTCCGTATCTAAGGAGCTACCCCATATGACCTCCAAACCAACCACCAAACGGAATGTTATTATTACTGATGGCTTCCAAATTTATTTACCTTCCTGTACGTACCGTAAGATTTGATAAAGAGGAACCAATCGTTGAGATATTGTCAAAAGTCTAACACTGCTTCTTGACGCCAATCGGATGAAGGTAAAAATTGATTCGGTCGGAGCGCTTCTTTTGTTTTTGTGTATTATGGGTGCAAACCTTCATTTCACGCGTTCTCATTGACTTCGTTCGGTAGCTTATTAACTAAAGTATCATACCAAACCCATAATTGACTTGTTAACTCTGAAATCATGGAATTATTTGGTGTTTTCTGCTCGATAGGCCCAAAATGGGCGATTAGGCCGAACTAGTTCTCTACCCTACATAGATTTCCTGAATTTCAACGATGTCTCCTGAACAAAATTCTTTACGTTTTAGAAGTCTGATGAAGTTAAAGATAAATCCCTGAGCTTCATCGAAGTTGCCCTTCTACAACGTTCGCAAATTTTCTGAGCTTCTATAAAACTTGCTGAAGTTAGTCTAGTCTATTCTAGTCTAGTTTACACATACACAGCCAGTACTCAACTATAAAACTTGCTGAAGTTAGTTCTACAAAACTCGCTGAAGTTCTATGAAGTTCACTGAGCTTCTACAAAGGTTGCTGAGCTTTTACAAAGTTAGTCGAATTTTCTGCACTTCTAGAAACTTTGCAGAGCTTCTACGCAGTTCAATTAACGACTACAAAGTTTTCTTAAGTTCTACAATGTTTCTTGAAAATCTATGAAGTTCCTTGCAATTCTAAAA